GCTACTCTTCCTTCAAAAATGTATGTACACGCATGGAATTTGATTTACAATTACGTCAAAATATGTATAACAAAACTTAGTATGGGTTTTGCGATAATATGATTGATATTTTTACATTACTTCTTTTTATGAATGCTTATTGACAATTCCTTAAAAATGTATGAACTCTGAGTATTTTTAAAAAAATAAGTATCGCTTTGATTCAAAAATGCATACCAACTTTTGTTACATGTACTATTAGCAATAGGTAATAAGAAATTCAAAGCATTAGGCGCTATAGAAAAAAAGCCTTAAAATTTTTAATGAAGACAATTTAGTTATTTTATCTTTCTGAGATAGGTAAGTTTAAAGTTTTGATTTGCCTTAGAGCAGCGTTTCTCAAACTGTGGCGCAATCCCCTGTGGGGATGTGATAACTCTGCAAGGGGTGCAAGCATATTGAAAATAAAATGTTTAAAAGAATAATTTTTTGGAATGAAGTAAAACATAATGCTTTCTGACATAATAAAAAATACACGTTTACACTGATATAATTTATATATATCATCTTTTGATCATCAAAAATAAAAGATTCCACTTTAAACGCTCATTAGCTATCTTTGATCCTATAACCAAATAAAAAAAGACATTTTGTTTGCTTTGCTGTAATCCCACGAGGAGAGATTTTCTTATTACGTTTGTCTTAACCCTTAAAATACTACTTTTGATTATCATATATTTGACCTTCAAACTTACTGGTATGTTTCACTCCGTCTCTTTTTCTTTTAGGAAAGTTGTGAATAATATTTTTCTGATTTTTTGCTATGTAATAATGAAAAACGTTTTACGCAATTATTTTTAGAACTGACATCGATGTTATAAAATTGAATACAATTTTAACATGGGAGTGGTCGCATGAGGCGCAGAGTCAACCCAGGCTCACAAAATCGTTAATTCTGGGAAAACTGTTTGATCGTTAACAATGACCTTGACAGTATCCTCCTATTACACAATGGAACTAAAATGAATTTGTCAGATATATGCATCTTTTTTGAGAGTGGCAAACGTTTTTTTTTGCAACCAAGGTACCCTGCGCAACCACTTTTGTTCAAAAATATTTTCTATGAACATGCTACACTTTCCCCCATGAACAATTTTGTAGTTTTGATTGCTGTGTTGTACGACTTATGGTTTATAAATGTAAATGAGCAGAATATAAAAAAAAATGGGCATCTGTGATCTCTATTGAAGGAAGTTGAAACTGATCGAACAATTGAAGAACTTGTTGAAATTATGCATATTAATCAAGATAGCGAATGTAAATATGAGAAAAGGGATAGACATGATACGTTTGAGTTATATTGAAATTTTCAAATGCTGCCTAAATAACTCTATGAAGAAAAATATGAATTCATAAATGTAGTTCTTCACCTTGCCAAAAAGACACAAGGAAGAAAAAGTTCAAAATGCTATTTGAAGATCATTAAACGACAGCAAAACTACAATAACGTAAACAAAATATGACAGTGTTGCTGGAAAATAACGTTCCTGTATTGTTAGCGAAAAGTGTCTGTGATTTATGTCATTTATTAAGGGCACGCACATTTGGCACGCATATTTGGAATATTTTCTTTAGTTTTATGGGATTTTTTCTCAAATTATCAAAGCAAAATTGAAAAGTCCTTGAAAGAAGTAAATACATTTTCTCTTAATTAAATTATTCACTAAAATTGTGATTTTTATCGTGTATACTTTAAAAATAATTATAAAATAAATTATAGTTTAAAAACAAACTAAAAAATGCGCTTTTATAGTGAATCGAACTAAAAAGTAAAAAAAATAAAAATATGTATTACTTACAAGTAACATATACAAAATATAATACTTATCTTGTTAATTTGTACGGCTTATAATTATGATTATATTGTAGCTTTAGCACCAAAGTGCATTATTATTGCATTCAATATATTATTATTTGGGGGGGGGACGATAAAAATTGTGATTGAAAATTGGATCGCCAGTAGTGAAAGCTTGAGAAACACTGCCTTAGGGATGTGAATAAAAACGATCATAAAAGCTATCATAATTCTGCTTTCTTTAAGTTTAGAGCTTTCAAATTTTGTGAGGCTATAGAGAAAAGTATATAAAGAATAATTTAGGCTAAAAAAATTAGATTTGATTTTTTGAACGATTTTTGTCAATTGAACCATACTGTGTCATCTTAATAATTTAAGGAAAGATTTTCGTTATTTTACTAAGATAATTTTTTTTGATTCATATGACACGTTATACAAGCTTAGATCAACTGCTGTTCCATTTTTTCCCTTTTAAATTGAAATTAACTCATTTAATTAAACCATAATCATCATTATAATTTTTTATCATTAAATTATCATATTTATATATTTCATCCAATTGAAATGAATGTTATTATATTGATGTTAGATTTACTCTATTAGAGAGTAATGTTAAATAAAGTATAACCCATCCGTTAATGCCCTACCTAAAACAAACTATGATTTATGTTAAATTTTAAATCATAAGATTCGTATCTGAGTAATTTAAAAATAAAAGTTATAAGAATAATTTTATACGTTTCATTTAATATCAGAATGCTTCATATATATATATATATATATATAATTACTAATGTATACCCAGATAATCACTGACGCTCATTCTTTACTTCGAAAGTTGCTTAAACGCTTTTAGATCATCACATTAAACTTTTTTAATTTCTAATGGATTAGTACATGTAGGTGTATATATCTCGATAATTAAATAACTACATTTGAAAATTGCTAACTATTTTTAATTTTAGAAAACCGCAATTTAAATTTCTGCCCAATTAAAATAAAACTAGGTTAATCAAAACAAACATAAATTAACTTCCAAATTTTTGTTTGAGTAAAATTTTAAATCAGTTTATATTTCCTTCGTTTTTCTGTTCAATTTGTGAAATATATGTTATTGTGAAAGAAATGAAGCTCTTATAAAAAGAAAATCTTAATACAGAGGGATTAGTTATTTTATAAATTGATGTTACGATAATTAAATGAGACGGGACTATGTACCAATTTAAAGAAGAGATAAATATAGATTCATAAAAACGAAAAGGCTGCACCAAATTTTAACTTCGAATCTTTCTGTGTTTATGCAGATAGAATTAAATCTTCTCCTCACAGACGCAAAATCTATCTAATAAATAAAGCCAAAAATCAAAAACTAAAATAAACAAAATAGTTCAGGGATATTACTTTTAATATAAAAGAACATTTATAAGAAACTACGTTCAAAAGACACGGTCTGGGAGAAAATTTTTTATCCACTTTTAAAAGTTATTTCTGGTATTTCAGAAAATTAGGACCTGTTATCAATTTTGTTTTGTGATTTTATTATTATTTTTAGTATTATCATTTTTTTAAAAAGAAAGAAATAGTTATATAATAAATATATATATATATATAAGTTCCATTGAGAATTTTGGAATATTTATTCTGAAAAATATTATTATATGAGATGAAATTGCAGCAAAGTCGTAATTAAACACCCATTACTGATGTAAACCTACGTGATACTTTACGTACGGAACTATTTATCATTGATAATCAAAAATAAAATTTGTATCGTTTAAATGAGCTAAAATGCACTTAATGTTTATGATAAAACTTTTTAAGTTTTATGAAAAATAATTTAATTTTGTAACTTTTTTCTAGAGAGAAAACTATATTTAATGTTTATATAACAAATTTATTTTCACTTTACTTTGACTTTTCTCTCCACTAAGTAAAATTATGTGGTACGTTGAAGTACAAATAAATCTGCAGTAAGTTTATGCTGCTTTTTTAACACATTATTCTCTTTACTTAACTGTGTACCATATTTCATTAAAAGAAGTATCCATATATTTATGAATAAAACAATTGCTTATAACAATTCGTGTTCACTAAATGTATTCAAATTACATAACTGCTATTCAATTAATATTGTGTCAATGTACATTAGTTTTACTAAATATCAGTGTAATTCATATTAACTAAAAAAAAAATTTCAAATTTATTTTTAAGTCATACTGCTTTTGAAAATTACTTATTTGACTTGTAAATTTTATATAAAAATTCGAACGCAAATAATTGAATTGAAATTATTATAAAATTTTAAATTTTTAAATGAAAATTTTATAATTCATATTTAACCTCCATTCTCTTAAAAATTGTAGATAAGTATTAAATATTGAAGTTACGCACGTATTATTAAATATTTAACAATATTCTTTCTTTGAACATAAACAAAACAGAAACAAAATAATGTATTATTATGTTTAAACTTAGTTGGATCTTCTAAATCTAACATTAAGCCCAGATAGCTGAAATGTTCATGAACTTCATTAAGATAAATTAGTTTATCACATGGAAATTTTGATAGTACCTTCTGAAAAAGAGAAGCAGCTTTTTCCAAAATCAATACAGGATTTTTTTCTCAAAGCTAGAAACATCATTTATGCTAGAATATTTAATTCTATTTTAACCAAAATTCCTAAGGTACTTGCCCAGTGGAGGAAACTGGGCGTGAACATTACATTGCGGTGATTAGTACACCATTTATAAGATGCCACATTAGAAAGATATACCAGCTCCCGGGGAATGTTTTAAGTCTGCAATGATAAAGCTCCAATCCGTAGCTCCATAAGACATAAAAAAAGTGTGTGTACTTATGTACGCACGTAAGAAGTTATACTTCTTTGGTGTAACAAGATTAAAATCTTTGTAAAAACCTTTTGCAGGGCAAGTTGGGCCAAGGATGAAAGGCAGTCATTTAGTTGAACGATACTAACTTTCAGTCAATCGGACCAGCCAAAGCTGAGATAATCACGATTTAAATAAATTTAAACATCCCCGCACAGGGACAATAGGACCAATAGTATGGGGAGGGGGTCGAATCATGTGTCCTGTTCTGCATATTTCCAGACAAAGCATTTTCATATCCGTTCCTACGGAACACAAAGCAAAGGTTAGCTGACGCGGGGGTATAGCTCAGTGGTAGAGCATTCAACTGCAGATCGAGAGGTCCCCGGTTCAAACCCGGAGGCTCTCTTCAGAGAAGTGAAGAGAAATATTTCTTTCAGAAATTCGAAGGTGGGGTGATCTGTCCCGTTCTGTGCATATTTCTAGACAAAGCATTTTCGTATCCATTCGTACGGAACGCAAAGCAAGGACTCTCTGACACGGGGTGTATAGCTCAGTGGTACAGCATTCGATTGCAAATCGGGAGGTTCCCGGTTCAAACACGGGTGTCCCATTTTAAGGGAAACAAAGAGAAATGATTTTTTTTTCAGAATTTCGAAGGAGGCAATGATCTGTCCCGTTCTGTATATCTCTAGACAAAGCATTTTCGTATACGTTCCTACGGAACACAAAGCAAAGGTGGGTACATAGCTCAGTGGTAGAGCATTCGGTTGCAGATCGAGAGTTCTAAGGTTCAATCCCGTGTGTCCCCTTCTTTAGGGAAGTGAAGAGAAATATTTTTATGAGAATTTTGAAGGCGGGAATGTGATTTGTCCCGTTCTGTATATTTCTAGACAAAGGAGTTTCGCATCCGTGACGGTTTTGCGTCACATCCGTGACGGTGTGCGCCCGCAATGTAAAAATTTACCCTCATTCTGTTTCTCTAATGCCCCAAAAGAAGTATAACTTCAAAAATATTAACTAAGAAAAAGAAAACAACCTAATATATATACTTATTAAACACAACTATGAGACTCATATGTGTAATGTATTGAACAATGTGTTCCCTATTTGAAATCTTTCCTCACGTATTTATTTTTTAAATTGCTTGCTCACAGGATATAATATTTTCCCTACAATACAAATATTAGAACATCACGTAAATGTAATAATTAATTTTTTAAAGAAACTTGACCCACATACCGTTAATTAAAAATTTATTAAGATTAAATTTACTCATATATCTCTCTCTCCATATATATACATAGTCAAGGAAAGAAAGAAAAGCATTTCTGTGGCAAACAATGAATTATGAGCCTTAATGTACTGGCTGAAGTTTGATTACACTTGTTTTCTGAGATAAAATTTCATTTTTATTTTTTATCGTTTCACCAAAATGCACATGTTTATACTCTAGATTGAAATGTTGGCTTTGGCATTTATTTTGCCTGTTATTTGCATTTTGTTCAAAATAACATGAATTATAAATAATAACTGTGTAATGATAAGAAGTGAAAGGAAATAATTGACACATACAAAAGTAACTCGAGGATTGTTGAATTGAGCTACGCTATTGCTTCATACGTTAAATTTAAAAGGCAGAGACTAGAATGAAAATTAACGGTCATTAATAGTGTACTTAAGTTTCGTTTACTAAAATTAGTAAATAATAGAAAAGAGAAAATGTGTATTAATGTTATTTATGATAAGAGGTTAAAATTAAAGTGCCTTATAGAACGCTCTCATTGGAGATGGAGAGAAATAACTTGCGTGTAAATAGTTTAATGGGAGTTAAATAACAATTACAAGCTTGTCAAATTGTGGAACGAGTAACAGCATTCCAAAAATCAAACTATTTATTAATTTTTTGACAATAATTTAGGAAAAATAAATAATAATTACACAGTTAACCAATGGTAACATATTATTTCATTTGATTAAAAATTCTTATTGGGAAGTGATTATCGAAAATTAAGCATTGATTATAATGAACGATAGATTCACATGTTTTTCCCATGTATAACATCCAGATTGTTCCCCATTGGCTGCTTGCTATCATAACAGACACAAGCAGGCAAATTCTTTTTACCATTTTCGTAGGTACAGTTGTTACGTTAACCGTATATTGCCATACACTTATGCTAAAGGGTATAAATAAAGGATATGTTTGACAAAATAATTTCATTGCATACAAAAATGAACATTTTACGTAAAGAAGGAGGCAATAAATATGGGAGTGTGTCATCAAGTTTATTGTAGATGACACAGCACTTTTATTTAATACGGGAACGATTTTGGGATATAAATGAGTGAGAAAACGCTCAGCGTTTATTTGTCGTATCAGTCTTATTTGGGACACTATTCTTCAAAGAGGAATGGTCCAACTACGAAAAATGTGGTACAGCCGTAACAGACTGTCAACTTGGCGGGATACAATGATCTCGTCGTACATTCATGAGGATTCAGCGTCGTCCATGTACGAGTATTCTGAGAGTTAACATCCTCGTGTTGTGTGATATGGGCCTCATCTATCCAGAAAATACTGAACAACCACAAAGAGTTGCATTCAGTTCTTGTCGTAGTCCACTTGGCTAAGAATTCCCTTAAAGCTGTGACTCCGGGTTGTACTTCCTACAGTGACTAATTAGTAGGAATAGAAATGTGCAATATCCCATGGGGGAAACTTCGAAAAGATGGGTAAGGCACATGAAATAATTTTCCATATTTGGGAGCTCTACTGCATCTCTTGGATGATAATGCAATTAGCTCATTCATAGTGATTTTCACATAATCGCCAACAGTGGTCTTCCGTTTCGTGACCGATCCTCCATAGAGCCAGTTTTTTTCAAAACGTTTGTTAAGCTCCTCTATTCTAGTACAAGATTTAGAATAATTCATTTTCTTCATTCCTTCCGCCGTCGGAAATATATTAGCTGTGATCGTTGACTCTCCACATTCAAATGAAACAATTCCACGAGCAATGCTTGATAGGGTAATGTTAACTTTCTGAAAGCGAATGTGAAACTCTCGTGTATCACCGTCTTTTAGTGAAAGATAAAATTTGATTAATTCTGTTGAGAGTCTTCTACCGATGACTTTTTTTTAAACTAAAAATATTTTTGCTGCTATGAAAAAAAATCTTTCTTTGTGAGTCCTTTCTTGCGAACTTCACTTCTTTACCCTTATTTCTTCCTTTTTTTTCTTACAAATTTTTAATGCCTGAACGAACTTTTGGCTCATCCTGTATATTTATACAGAGTGTCCGGGCTTAAAGTATCTAAAAGTAATGGCTTATTATTACGGAACTACCCATCAGAATGTAATAAATGTTCATCCATGGATTGGAAAACTCTCTGAGACTTTTTGGGGCTAGTCTAACCGACCGCACGTGCACGCATTATTGGGCAATTGCAGACTATATACTTTTTACATTGATTTCATTAGTACAGCTGTAGACGACCCAGTAAAAGGTGCAGTGCGTATTTTGGTTAACGGAATTTAATACAGTCACGCGTGTACAGCGACGTGTTCAAGCAGAATAAAAAATGTTCGACCCCCCTCATCCGACCGACATCAAAATCAATTCACTAATGGGACAAAACTTTAAAAGAGACGGGAACTTTGGTATCTCCAACTGTCAAGTATTCTGAAGTTTCCGCTATAGAAGACACTGATTATCGTTTGTGTGATTCATTTTGTATGAGTCCTGATAAGTCTATTAGGCAAGCCAGCAACGAAATTCCATTCTAGTCGAACACGTCGCTGTACACGTGTGACTGATTTAAATTCTATTAACCAAAATAAGCACTGCATCTTTTACTGTGACTTCCACATCTATACTAATGAAATTTGTGTAAAAATTTATCGTCTGCGATTGCCGAATAATGCGCGCACGTGGGGCCGATCTAACCAGAAACAAAATATCTCGGAGACTTTTTCAATCCATGGATGAACAGTTTATTACATTCTGAAGGGTAGTTCCGTAATACTAAGCCAATACTTTTGGATAATTTAAGCCCAGACACCTTGTATATATATATATATGTGTGTGTGTGTGTACATAAAAATAACACACAGAATACAATTCAAATAAAGGCTTTAAATATTTAAAATATAATTGCAGCACAAAAGGGAAAAGTTATATCTCTATGTCAGTATTCCTATGTATTGACATTTAAAGTATTCCAAAACATTAATTCAGGTTTTAAAAATTGTATGTCTGGGAAATACTGTGATATTTGAAAACCTTAAAGAAGTACTTCATTTGTAAAACATATGAAAGGAATACTATTCAATGAAATTTGAATAACTTTTGAATGCATCAGAACTTTACTAATAGAATTAGTCAAATATGTTTTTCAGGTAGATTTTATCATCACACAAACAACGTATTCACAATATCTTAAGATAAGGTAAAATCTGACTGCTTGCCTTTTATCCAAAAGCGTAGAGTTTAGTTAGAGTTTAGTTAGTTTTATTTAAAGAATTTGCAAATTTCGTTGGTCTTAATAAAGTACGATTCAAATATCTTTAACTATTAAATATAAAGAATTATTGAAAATCTGTGGAACCTTTAAAAATTCTTAGAAAACAAAGTGCATTCAATTTATATTTTGAACATTTCTAGAACTATCAAGATATGAATGCAAAGTTAGCATTGCACTTCCTTTGAATTAGTTTGGATAAGTTAATATTCACAAACACGTTGTACTTCCACTTCGTTAACTAGTTCAAAATTAAGATTATTTTCTAAACAAAACATAAACAAATATAATTAACTATTTTATGAGATAAAGTTTAAGACATGATATCATATTAAACAGTCTAATAAATTATAAACTGTATTAAAAAAAAATTTTTTTTTTTAAGAAGTGGAAAGCATCGGATATTATCTTGTATTTGTTCTAATAAAAGTCGTTTATGCATTAAATTTCATTTAATTCTGATGATTCTTTTATGGTGTTGCACTTTTACAAACAGCAGTTCAGTATAATATTCCAAACGAAAATAATTTTATTAAAATATTTATTTACACACGGTCTACTTCTCCATGATCTCCTAGTATTTACAAATTTTTAAATAGAAACAGCATTTGGAAAGGAAAATGCAACAAGCATGTTGCTTTTTGTGCTCAGGCACGCATGGATTGTATATTGTAAGCAACATATCAATGAGCAGTGAAAAATATATTTAAATGTGTTGTAGGAGGAATTGTATTTCGAACATTACAGCACACATTGTAGTTTTTGTTCTCTGCTCAAGGTTTTCATAATTTGGAATATATGAGATTGCTTTTGATATTCAGTAACATTCGAACCATAACTCCAGGTGTCCTTCAAGTACGATGCTAAATGAGGCACTCGTAGGGAC